ACGGCCAGGTTACAGATTCTAAAACTGTAAGAGACATTTTTATAAAGTATTAAAATTAGTGGATAAATTACAGTAGTGCATTTTTATATTTTATAAAAGTCGTATGGGAATTGTAATATTGAATGAAAATGAGAAATAAATAATATACTTATTTCTGAAACGTGTCTCATGAAAATAAGAAAAAGAAAATTTTTTTAAATATCAAAAAAAATCTTATCACCATTGTATATCATTCTCCAAGAATGAATAAAAATAGAAAGAAGGGATCCAATTATTTATTTTGTACCATCGTGCCAAGAATTTCGTCACTACCTAAAAATTCAAGATTTTTTGATAAAATAATATTATACAAAATATAATAAATATTTAACGTAAATATAACATAATATATTTTGATGAAATGATTGATATAATTTTTAGAAAGATATTTTTCTGAGAAAAGAAAAAAAAAATTCTAGGAAAAAAAAAAAAAAAGAAAAGAAAAGAAAGAGAGTGGTGGCTAGAAACATAAGGGTTCTCAAGATGAATTTAAAAAAACTCGTCAGTGAAGAGATTGTACGTTATCTCACGAGTGTCTGGTTGTTGGTGCATAATTAACTTCGTTAGTTGGCCTTTGCTTTCAGTAACATAATTGATCTTGTTATATCAACGAGTGGACGACTAGTGACGAAAAGATAAATGTTATTCGGCGATTGTTTTTTTATATAAGTATATATATATGTATTAACACATTTACAATCTGGTACATAATTGTTAAATATATATATATATATATAGTGAATATATTGAGCGTAATTTACGAAATCCAAACATTGACAACGGAGATACATTTATTTCTTTTTTTTTTTTCTATTTTTATCAAATTTTTTTTTTTCTTATAAAATTGCCTCTCTTAAGAATATTTTGTGACGAGAAAAAATGTATATTGCGATACTGATAATACATACTTAAATTTTATCAAAATATTTTACTCAAAAAGATTTAAATCTTTTCCAAGTTTCGTTTCAAAATTAATGAAATGCAATTTTCCTTAAGAAAATTTTGTTTTTACCATCAATGTTTAAAGAAATTTTAATTTCGTTCGTATTCCGTCGTCGAAATTTTGGATTTCTTTTGTTTAAAAATTTCGATCTCTTGGCTGCCAAAAAATTCCAAGGAAAATGAAAAATTTTACACGATAAATAAATTCCAGATACATAAAATCATTCTAAAATGAATTTTCTCAACTATGAGACATGAAGTTGGAAAATTTCAATAAAATTCCAAAAAAAAAAAAAAAATTCAATGTGTAGGACTAATTTGGCAAACCGGAAATCGAAAATTCTACTGTATACGAGCTACGATCGGAAATATTATAATTAACGTTATATTTGCGGGGAAGACACCCAGTATAAATATATATGTATATATATATGTCGTGTATACATGTCGGCACTGCTGATCGCTGGTAAATAGTCCTTTTTTTTTTCCCCCAAATTTCATAAAGCGTCTATCTGAAAGAGAGATGCGAGATACGCGTTTCTCGTTTCGCATTGCGTAGCATGTTGCGCACTAATTTACCATTGTAATCAGTATTGGAACGTACTACGATCTTTTTATAAAAATATTTAATACCACAACCAACCAGATAAATGCAACGATACCTCCATTTCGCTTCAAACAGATGGATTTGGCGCGTGCAAAGGAAATTTTAATTTCATCTCTTTTTTTTTTTTTTCTTTTCTTCTTTTCTTCATTATCTAGTCAGTTTTGTTTCTTTTTTTTTTGTTTTTTTTTTTTTTTTTTTTTTTTTTT